ATACTGGCAGATCCCTTTTCCGAAGGCGAATTCGACTTGCTGATCAGAATAAAATGTTTGCTAGAGAATTCGGATGATTTTGCAGTTTCGACAGGTATTTTTGCCATTTATTTATCCCTTCTGTGTCTACCAATGGTATTTCAAGGTCTATATTTATGATTTCGTTGCGCATTTATTTTATGTATACTAGTTGCGCAGGCAGAACCCTGAATTGTATACAAGGTGCGTTCGAAAGTAAACAAGACTTTTTGAATCTAGCGCCCACTAGTGGCGCCATCTGTATGTCGACTAGTGCGTTAGAATCTGCTATCCTTCATCGACTTCCAGTAAATATTCATGACATTTCATCTATTAGAAGTTAAGTTATTGCATTTAAGTGTCAGTATGTTTTTGTCATCGGTGCAACATAACATGTTGATTTAAATTGGTAAAACTTTTACCGAAACGTTTCAATTGATGAAACAAGTTTATGGCGATGATTGCCTATCCCGAGGCAGAGTGTACGAGTGGTTTCAACGTTTTCAAAGTGTTCGTGAGGACATAAATGACGATGAACATGTGGGCCAACCAAAATCCGTGATCACCGAAAATTTCATCAAAACTGTGCGTGATTCCAAGGGTATTGTCCACAAAGAATTTGTCCACCCGGCCAAAACGTTAATGCGATATTCTACCTTGGAGTTTTGAAGCGTTTGATGCGCCGTATTCGACGTGTTCGGCCCGAATATCGCGAAGATCGCGTTTGTTGCACGATAATGCGCTGCCTCATCGATCGACACTTGTGGCCGATTATTTGACCAAAAATCATATTTTAACAATCAACCACTCCCAGTATTCACCTCATATGCCACCGTGCGATTTTTACCTTTTTGAAAAAATGCATTTGCCGATGAAACGAAAGCGTTATGTAGACGTGGAAGCCATTCAAAAGGCTTGCACCGGTATACTGGCTGCCATTCCGGGCCACGAGCTAAAACACTCGTTCGACATGCTTTTCGACCGTGCAAAGTGATGTATTAAAACAGAAGGAGACTATTTTAAATAAAATTAATTGATTTTTTTTAAAGTCCTGTTTACTGTGGAACGATCCTTGTAGAAGGATTTTATGATTCAAGCATAAACTTGGGGTTTTAAGTTTAAGGTGCTGTATTTTAACCGAAATATGACTTCGAGGTAAGTCGCCTATATATTTAGATTGGTGCCGAGGTATTTAATTTCGCTTGCTTGAGGGACCATTACGTCGATTCGTTTCACCCGTTTTAAGTGATTTTCTAGTATTTTTGAGGCTTTCATTGGGCACATGCTACGACATAAAATAGCGGTATTGTCTGCGAAAGTTGAAGTTAGTAATACAATATTGGTCCCAAAACACTGTATTGAGGTACAGCAGCACTCCTCTGAGATAAATTCCTTTACATAAACTGTAAACCTTCTGTTAGTAAGGTATGATATGAAGATTTAATGGAAATTTTTTGGCAATGTCATTTTAATTTTATGTTTAAGTCCTTCATGGTATACTTTATCGAATGCTTGAGCCACATCAAGAAATATTGGTGAGCAATACGCTTTCAACTCAAATACCTTCCTGATCACATGCGATGGACTTGTTCTATAGTACCATGTTTTTCGCGAAAACCAAATTGATGGTTTGGTATAGCTTCATATTCGTGTAGAAAAAGAGATATCTTGGACAGCAGCACTTTTTCAAAATGTTTGGAAAGGACGGGCAACAAGCCAATTGGCCGATATGATGAGAACAGCGTTTCGGCTTTTCCGGGTTTGGCTATCATGATGATCTGTGTCCTTTTCCTCGCATTCGGAAAATTACCAAGTTCAATCATGGCATTCAAAAGTTGAGGCAAGAAATTGAAAGCAATATATGGTAGCTCTATTAGTATTTGAGGTGTTATGTGGTCACAATCAGACGACTTTTTGATACTTAACGTTTTTGCTATGACTTTTTATCCGATGAGTTCGTATTCACGTCGAGAGTAGTCCTAGTGACATAGTGAGACAAAAGTGGAATCGTAAAATTATTCAATGCTGCATCGGGTTGGACTATCTGGCTAAGGTGATTCGCAAAGCATTTTGCCCTTTCTTCGTCTGAACGGACCCAAGTACCGGTTCTCTGCTTGAGTAGTCTCTCAATTTCTACTGGTGGCTCAAAGTTCTTTTCCGTCTTCCGCAGTGAATTCGTTTGTGCAGAGTTCGGCGTCAGATGCCTCTCTTCTCCCCCCACAGGTTTTTTCAGCAGCTTTTAGTTTGATTTTAGATGATGGGGTTCGAATATTCTGCCATACTCACTCGTAGTCTGCGCTTCTCGACTACCAGGCGCTCAATTAGGCGGTTGGTGGTCCGTTTTGTACCTCGGAAGCTTTCTGTGGATTTTGGTGCTGCTACAGAGAACGCTGCTGAGAGCAAAGTTGAATAAGTTAATATTGTCTGCTATAACCATTTCACATATTGCTTCAGTTTCCACCTGCATGTGGGTGTTAAGTCAATTTGTTCTGGGCGTTGTCAGGCGAAGTGGTTGTTCGAATAACTGGCTAATGATCAGAGGACAAGTCGGAAATGGCTTCTCAATTTCTAAGGTTTCTATTATTGTTTTTTGTAACTGCAAAATCTATAAGTTCAGGTGTTTTATTTGGATCAGTTGGACAATTGTAGGTTTCCTCCGAGAAGCAATATCAAGATGATTTTGGTTACATTTAATTATGTAACATAGCGGTCGACCTTTTAGATTAACAAAACGGGAACCCCGGTAAGTATGTTTGACATTGTAATCGTCACCGGAGACCGCAGACTGAAGTTGCTTGCATATAAAGTCTCTCATAAGAATCTAAGAAGTAATATTTTAGTCTATTTCAATGGAGAATAGCCGTACCGCCATGTGCCTTACCATCCATCCGGATGGTTTGTGATGTAGAACTGATAGCCAGCTTTTCTCTGGATTTCATTTCAATGCTTCTGCGTGTGAAGGCTTATTTGACGTTAATGTGCTAGAGGTGTTGGCCATCAGTGCGTGTTTGAATTGTATGCCCTGGTTGAGTTTAGTTAAATACGGACATATCGGCGTAGAAGCTGTTTGAAATCGACGAAGTGGTCGATGCTTTACTGACGAATCTCTTTTAAGACTTGGTCCATGGGCTTCCGTGATTCCGCCCTTTTTTTGAGGGTTGTCTGTATTAATATTGAAATTTAATTGAAAGTTTGTAAATATGAGTTCTTCATATAGGTTGTAGATTAAATATTATACTTACCTTTTGAGAATTGTCAGACATACATATATTTGGTGTAGTAAAAAGTTCGTTCGGGTTTTATCAAAGAGGTGGCATTATTGTCCATAGTACTAATGTTACGTGTCGCATCATGTCCTACTATACGGCGCTGAAACGTGTCTTTGACAGTTTTTCGATTGATTGAATCAGTACGTTGTGAGCGCTCGTCAAAGATGGACACCAGCAAAGAGAAAATTCGCTATATTTTATAATTTTTCTTCGATCAAAGCGAAAAAGCAGCCAAAGTGACTGAAAAAATTAATTTAGTATATGGGCCGATACTGTAAACGAACGTGTAGCACGAAAGTGGTTTGCTAGGTTCCGTTCCGGTAATTTCGATGCCAAAGATGCACCACACGTCGAGAAGCCTGTCGTCGAAAATTGCAATAAAATCAGGGAGATAGTGGAAGCAAGCGTCACGTGAGCACTTATTTAATTGCTGAGGAACTAAAGATAAGACAGAAAACTGTTTGCAACGATCTGCATAACCTTGGCTTCAAAAAGAATCTCGATGTCCGGCTGCCACACGAACTAACGCAAAAATGGCCAAATGGCCAAATTTCCATCTGCGAATCGCTGCTGAATCGCAACAAAATCGATCCGTTTCTGAAGCGGATTGTGACTCACGATGAAAACAACATCGAGCGCAAACGGTCGTGGTAAAGCTCCGGGAAGCGGCACAGACGATGGCCATGACCGGATTGACAGCCAGGAAGGTTTTGCTGTGTGTTTGATGGGATTGGCAAGGAATCATCTACTACGAGCTCTTCCCCTATGGCCAAACGCTCAGTTCGGCCCTCTACTGCCAAGAAATGGACCGCTTGAAGGCAGCACTAATACAGAAGAGGTCATCTTTGATCAACACAGGCCAAATTGTGTTCCATCAGGACAACGCCAGGCCGAATACGTCTTTGGTGACGCGCTAGAAGCTCCTGGAGCTCGGATGGGAGGTCCTAATGTACCTATCTTATAGTCCAGACGTGGTACTAAGTGATTACCATCTTTTCTTGTCCATGGCGAACGCGCTTAATGGTGAGAAGTTGGCCTCAAGAGAGGCCTGTGAGAATTCCGAGTTTTTTGCCAATAGGGACGCAGCCTTCTGCGAGAGGAATATAATGAGGTTGGCATCTCGTTGGCAACAAGTACAAGTACGAACATAACGGCGCATATTTGACTTAAATCGGACAAATGTACACAAAGTTATTATATTTTGAAAAATTAATAAAAAAAAAACGAACGAACCTTTTACTTGACCAATATCTAGGGAAGTACGCAGTACATTTTCATATAATTATCAAGACCTATTGGCAATGGTTCCAGTTAGGATTCTTTACTAAACAACATGATTCATTGGACGACTTCGTATATTTTACCTTTTTGAGGTTATCAAATTGACCATGTTAAGCTGTGGTCCTTATCAAATTTCAACGATTATGTGAACTCATTCTGTGGCCTGCATACATTTAGATCCACTTTTATGCCAAAATGCAAAAACACACAAGTGGCTGGTAGCAATAAGCAAAATCCTAAGGCTATGCAAGGTTTTTCGCTACTTTCGTAAGCAAATTGTATGAACATAATTTAATTTTATTTAATGTATCTGAGGTCATTTAATTCTAGTTCAATGTAAATTTTTAAAGTATTTTTATAAGAAACATCGTGCATTTTTATTCACTCAAAATATGAAATAAATTGTAAAGTATTTTTTTCATTCAATTTTAGCGGAAACTCCTAAATGAATTACAGCTCACAAGCGCTCCAGATAGCCAGTACCACGGGTGTAAGCATTTATATACCCAAGTAAATTAAACTCAAATTGCCGGAATTTAAATAATATTGCTTATATTATAATCCGTTGATTTGGTTACCAAAAAAAAAAAAAATAAATAAATAAAGATGGAAAACTCTACCGAAATGGAACTATTAAGCAGCGCGGAATACATGGATCTTCTACCTCATCTACCAATTGAGGATTTACTTTTAACGGAATATAAAACAGACAGCGAGTGGCGCAAATTAATACAATTAAGAGACCCTAGCAAAAAATTATACCATTGCTCTGTGTGCAATGTTGTACAGTCTGGAGAAAAAAATTTATTTGCGCATATAGAGGGGAGAAAGCATAAGATGAAAATTGGTACGACAGTTCAGCTTTATCAACCAAAATACACTTACAGTAAAGAGAGTATCGAATCAACAATTAGTTTAAACGAAAATGATGACTTAGAGAATTCGTTAGAACCTTCAAATACTAATGAGTCTATTAGCAATGGAAACGACAAAGAGGAAACGACGGCAGCGAACACATCGGAAGATGTGACGAGTTCTGCAGATGCAATGCCGAAAGAAACCATATTGGAAGGAAATGATGATATGCCAGCCGTTATTTTGATTGACGATGATAACGGCAGCAAAAATAGTCTTTCAAATGATGATAACGCAGTGGACAATTACGAACCGACATCAAAAAAACGTAAAATGGTATTAAATCCCGCGGCTGTAACCACCAAAATAGACGATATAGCTACAACAAAATCAAATGCACCAAAATACCAATCAAATATAACAATTTTGCCTACAAAAATTAAGCATAAAGAAAGTGCTTTTCGTTCAGAAAATAATAGTAATGCACATTTTTCTACAAAAATCTTCAGTTGTAATCCGCGTGACGATACCGTTATGGGCTTGGTTGGCGTAGAATATGTCGTTAAAATTTTGAGAAATTCTAACGATAGTCAACCGAAGTACGAATGTGGTCTTTGCGAATTTACTAGCGATGGTTTGAATATGCAAAATCATCTAGTCAGTTATAGCCATCGGCTTAAATTCTGTGAAAAACATTTCCCCACAGCCATACGTCAATATCAACAATATATACACAATATTCCCAGTAATGAATCCTACAAAGTTATGACGCCTATTTTAAATAAATTGGCAATTGCAATTGAACAACATCATGGCCGCGAGTTGCCTTATGAATGTCATGAAAATGAATTTAACATAAACCGGCATGAGATCTTGTCAAAGGTATATTCATGTCGACATGCTTCGGAGCAGCACGGTCCGACTTTTACGCATATAATTGACTCAAAAGAGGTGGATAAACTTGCCGCGGAACTCGACAAATACCAACCGCCAAGAAATTCTTTTGAAAACATTTCTTTCGATCCGCGCGCACGTGCAAGTTATAAGGCTCCCGCTAATGATCGCAGGAATGTTTATAACCCTCATAATTTCAGTCGGCAGCACGATAATTCACAAAGAAATTACAATAGATATAGGCGCTCTAAAAATGACATTATCGGTAATGAGACTCATAAACTCATAGCGGATGACTATTTGAAAGATACATGTAAAAACCGGTCATCTCAATATTTTAATAATTTTTCGCTAGATCAGCCAAATTTAGAAACTATTCCATTGGTTCGGCATAAATCACCCTCCACATTAAATGAAAATAGCGTGTGGAAAACCTATCGTCACTTAGTTGACCAGAAGGTTATGGGTTTAAACGAGTTATTTCAAATCTATAAAACTGACCCGGAAACACATCCGGAATACAATCAAGAATGGCAAATGTTTTGGAAGCGACGTAAAAACGAATTAATCGAGATGGGCATAGATCACCGCACATTCAACTACCAGCCAGAATGGGTACAATTTTTTAGCAAACGTCTGGAGGAATTGTATCATCAAGCAGTTGAGAATATTAAAATTGAATTACGCAGAAGACTGTGTTTGCCTATGACAAATGAGAACTTTGAAATTGAAAAATATTTTAGTCATTCCGAAGATAATTTCGGGGAAAAAAGAGTCACTAATGTTATGGCTGAAAACTGTCCAAAAGATGGAAATAAAAGGATAGTTTCAGTAATACGTCTTTTAGCAGCTCTAGAAGAATACTTGGGCAGTCTTGGACCGAAAGTTGTGCAACTTTTATCTCAGACCCTTCAAATCGAAAAAAATTGTCCAACTAGCTTGAGTTCTATAGTACTTAATGAAGAAAACTACAGTCTCTTAGAAACCGTAAAGGAGAAGTTCAAAGGACTTATTATAGCTGGTATTTTAGATGATTTCAAGCAACGTATAATCAGGAAAGCTATAGACGAAGTAGATTATTTATTATCAAATAAGAAAATGGATAATGAAACACATACTGCGAATTTCCTAGAAAAAACCCTAGAAAAGAGCTTAAATCCCGGCAACAAGAAACACTTGCTTACAAATATACTTACACTAGTGGATAAAAAAGAGTTGGCATTAAAGTTAGCTGATCTTCTTTCGGCTCAAGGAAAAACCGATGTAGATCCTGTACAATTACAAAAAATAATATCAGTTTATATGCTAATCGAAGAGAAGAAGCAACAGGCTTCAATCACATCAAACCACGAATCCAACCAATTCAGATTCGGGACCAGCAATTCTGAATCTGGACAGACGAGGAATGATGGAAATCTTCTCGAATATACGAGTTATGCTCAAAATTGCGCAAGTTCCCAACCGGCGACACATCAGAATAATGAATTCTTTGGTAATACATCATTCTGCAACAGTAATACGTCTTATGGGAACGGACTCGACAAATTTTCAAATAATTATCGAGAAAACAATGGCACTGGATCCAGTTCCCAACTGCCACCACATATAAGGCAGAATGCTACACTAAACAAACCGGCCAATTGGACTACTACAAGTTTTTTACATTCACCGCAATACAAAATGCCGTATCAAGTTAACCGTAAAAATAATTCCTATGGAATTAACTCAAATTGGAAAAAGTTTTAAAAAGAAAGTATAATAAATATCCCTGCAAATGTAAATTACTTAGTGTACAGTTAGGGTTAAGTACTATTTGAGCATATATTCTCATGTGAATAACATATGCTACAGTTTTTGCTTTAAATATTGAATATAAATATAGAAAAAAGGAGTTTTATTGTATTTTTTACTTTTAGTTCATCTCGATAGAAATAATTAAGTAAAGGAATCCCTAAACTCATTGCTAGTATATCCTGAAACTGAAACACCATTCAGATGTAGGCAGATCTGCGGCCGCAGTTGCCGAATCGTGCTTTGCGTGCCATAATTTGGAAGACCAGGCTTTGAGCTCTGGTTCGACCAACATCCAAATTATAGAAAAATAATTTTTCTAATTGCGGTCGCTCCTCGGCGAAGAATGCCAAACTCTACGAGTGTATTTCTGACATGAAATTAAAGCTTGTTATAAAAATCCGTCGGTGGCGGATTTGAAACAGTGAAAGCGTACACCGAAATTGGTGAAGGAGCTCGGCCGAAAATCGCGGTTATAAAGCGCCTTAAACACATGTGCATACATATATATATAATATGTCAGATTTGAATTTTTCATATTAATTTTCATTTAATTTAAACATTTTGGCACACTTTTATACTGATGTATCGGAAAGAGATCTTCTAATCTACAAGGAAGAAAGTGGCAGTTATCTAGTGAATATTAACCTGGCCAGATTGATAACTAGAAATGGAGTACAAATTGATTAGGTCCGTTCTCAATAGATAGCCCCACCTGCAAGGGGAGAGTGATTTCGACCAAAAGTGGTGATTTCAGCGTCGACGAAAAAGTGCACTCTCCAACGCAAGAAAATTGGAGATTAGAAATCTTTACTGGCCCAGCAAGCAATTTCTGTTCGATTAAAGTAATTTGGATTAATTCAAAAGCAAGGATATTTTGTTCCGTATGAGTTGAAGCTGAGAGATATTGATTTTTTTTACCTCAGAACTGCTTCTTGAAAGACATCAAAGGAAGGAATTTCTACTCCGGATCGACGCCAAAACTGCTGAGCTGCTAAAACCAGGCGAGACCATTGTGAAACGACTACAACTAATACGTTTGAGCGTGCCTTGTATGAAAAACAGCCTAAAGCAACGGAAAGACATGACAAAGCACGACCCCTCGTGGTTGTAACGGGGTGGAAAAGTATATGGAAACGCCGGAATGGGAGGTCTTAGCCCACCCGCCGTATTCTCCAAACCTTGCTTTTTCCGACCACTGCCTCTTTCAATGTATGCAAAAGGATTTGGGGGAGAGGGCATCAACCGTTGGTTTTTTTTTTTTTTGGAGAAACGGAGGAATAACTCTATGATTGGATTGGGACAGATAAAACCCATTTGTATTCGTAAATTAGCGAACAGATGAGAAAAAGTAGTCAGCGTATACGAATCTTCGAAAAAACTACTGCTGTTCGGGTCAGAGGGATACTGAAGCCACATTTTTTAGTTTAAGGGGACGCGCCAAGAGCAGGTTAGTGGAATATAGTGCATGGATTGTGTATGACTTTCTAGATATATAGACGTTTGACCTGTGACAAGATAATGAGATTCCCATTAGGCATCTCAAGCTGTCACCTGCTAAAAGTGACGCTTTTCGTTACGGCATTCACAGGATGGTCTTAGTCGACTCCATTTGAATGGGGAGTGCATGTATTGAAATACTCTTATGTACTTCCTTACGTGCCGTGCTGTTTTTCACAGAATTGAAGTCTTTCAAATCAAGATAGGTGCTGCCTTCATGAACTGCCAACACTCCTATTACGATTGGCGTCGTCGACGTCGTCACCTCGTGTTGACGAAGTTGCAAGGCAACTATTGACGAAATCGATTGAGACCACGACAACAGTTTATCGATACGAAATGTTATTTGCCATTTCTACATCATCTGTTTAATTTTTTTTACAAACTTTATTTAAAATTTTGTATTCTCGGAGTAATGGAGTACTGATTTTTACGTAAAAATGTAATTATTTACTGATGCATTAATCTTAAGTGATAGAGAAAAAAAAACTTTTGGCAAAATGAAAAACTATTAAGACAGAATTCGATATATCTTTATATACATACATATATCTTTTGTCCGCGTGTTTGTAATTTAACACCTTCTAAACGTCTGGACCGATTTCGATGAAATTTTTTGTGTGTATTCAAGGGGGTTTGGGGGTGGTTTAAATTCACAACTCGATCAACCGGATAATGCTTTAACAATGAATTTATTTAGATATAAATTGTGGTTGTTATTTTAACGTTTAACATAGTATTCCGGCAGACGGTGCTGCAGTCATGCCAGATATTCAGAAGTATATTTGAGTTTCTTATATACATATTTTTGTACATCTATTACTTTCTTCTTACGGATATTTTGAAATTTCTTACTGTTACATATTTTACATAATCCTGCATAAAAGTTGCCTAACCCATACAACAATCCTAACCTACAATTTTTTTTTAGATATCAAAGATACTATTTCAAAGAAATAATATAAGTAAAAAAAATGCCACGTGTTCGCGGAAGAGCAAAAACAATCTCCGTAGAAGAGCACATGACAGCTAATGCCAATGTAAGAGAACAAATAGCAAACTCACGTACAAGAGAGAATTCAGAGCATCGTAATCAACTTATTCGTGCCAACATATTAAGGCAAAGAGAGGCACGTCAACGAGTGACTGACGCTCACAGAGCAAATGATCGACAGCGGTGCCAAAAAATTCAAGAATGGCTGAAGTACTGAGAAAGTGCAAAATTATTATTTTGGATGAATGTACAATGGCCCATAAGCATTCGCTATAAGCTCTTGACACGATTCTGAAAGATATACGAAATATTCACTGGCTTTTCGGTGGTGCTCTGCTCTTGCTGTACGGTGGTTTCAGACAAACTTTGCCTGTCATTCCACGTACAATATATGCGGACGAAATAAACGCATGTTTGAAAGAGTCCTATCAGTAAATTAAGCCTTGCAATCAATATGCGCGTACGACTCGAAAATGACCCATCGGCGTTTGCGATTTTCAGAACAATTGCTAAACATTGGTAATGGTGAAATTCAATTGGATGAAGATACACAATATATTTAACATCCAGAAAACTTTTGCAAAGATGAGCTAATACAAAAAATTTTTCCAGAGATGCGATGTGTTTTCAAAAAATATCGCGAATTTTGTGTTTTTTCAAAAATTATTTATTTATTCATGAATATCTATTTTGTCACCTTCAAAGTAATTCCCAGCGATGCCGTCTTTATCTCGTCAATCGTAGCGTAACGTCGTCCTTTCATGGGCCTCTTCAGTTTAGGAAACAAGAAAAAGTCACAGGGGCCAGATCTGGGGAATACGGTGGCTGCGGCATCATTAGTGTGTTGTTTTTGGCCAAAAGATCGCACACAAGCAACGATATGTGAGCAGGGGCGTTATCGTGGTGCAAAAGCCAATTTTTGTTCTTCCACAAATCCGGGCGTTTCTGGCTCATTGCTTCGCGCAAATTGCGCAAAACTTGCAGGTAATATTCCTTATTGACCGTTCTACCCTGCGGCAAGAACTCATGATGCGCCACACCCCTGCAATTAATTTTTTCCTCTGTTGTTGAAGTGATCGGGCGTCCGGCACGCTCTTCGTCGTTCACATCTCTTCGGCCTTCTGAAAACATTTTATACCACCGATAAACGTTGCTTCGGTCCAAAGGTAGCTTCTCCGTATGCCACAGTCAACATTCGGAATGCATCCGCGCACTTAATTTCGTTTTTCCCACAAAATTTGATACAGGTTCTTTGATCCATTTTTTTGAATAGGTAAAAGTCGAAGACCATCCAAAACACGTGCAAGCAAAGCAGCTGTCAACAATTAAGTGAACACTCAAAATGGCCGAGCTTGTTGTTGCTGTTGTGACAGACATGAGTAACGCCACAAAACAATCGCAATTCGATTATACGTAGCCCGCGAAAATTCAAAATTCGCAATACCTTTTGAGCACACCTCGTAAAATATAATTTATACAAACTATACATGACTACGTTAGCGAGCTATTTTAGCTGCAAAAAATGTAGATGTCGACGCGATCAATTTCAAAATACAACAGTCACTGCCTGGTGATGAATTTATATTCAAATCAATCGACATTGTTGTTGATCCGGATAAAGTTGTCAACTGTTCTGTAGAATTTTTGAATTCACTGAATTTACCTGGCATGCCATCCCATAACTTGCGATTGAAGATTGGCTCACCTACAATTTTGCTTCGCAACTTGAATGCGCCAAAATTGTTTAAAAAAAAAGCGATTATTCATAAAAAAAAATATGGGCAACATTCTTGACGCCACTATTTTGAGTGGAAAATTTCAAGGTGAAGTTGTACTTCTACCACGGATTCCTATGATTCCGTCAGATTCAACGGTACCATTCCAACGGTTACAATTTCCAATCCGCTTGGCATTTGCGCTGACTATTAATAAGGCGCAAGATCAAACAATGACGATTTGTGGCCAATTATATGTTGCGTCCTCGAGATTGGAGGAAGTATCGAATTTATTTGATTATACCACTCAAGGACTAACCAAAAATATTGTACATCCGATGGCATTATGATAATTTCAGTTTTTGTGGATAAATTACTTTAAGAAGACCACCCTTTATAGAATAGTTAAAGATTGAACCTTATCACTTCCAATTGAAACGAGTTTTTTTTATTGAACACAGCTTCTACAATTAACATCTCTGAAAGCGTACTAATACGCATACTCACATGCTATCTATGGGTTGAATTGTGATAAATACATATGAATGCCGTTAGGTATTGTAATAAGTTTCTAATACAAACTTTTGTCTTAACGGTCTCATTGTTTACATTTAAGTCGGATGGATAGGACAACGTCTCTCCGCTAGTTTATTTACATATATATATTTTTTGTAATTCACAACAAAATCAAATTTCAGTATTAAATTGTACCTCGCTGCGAAAATGATGCAGTAACAAAAACATTAATAAAATTTATTTTTTTAAAGAATGAAATAAAAATTATATGTTTATAAATATTTAGTAGGATACCCTTTGCTGTCTATGACTACCCAAACGTATGAAGGAAGGCCACAGATTCTACTAACTTCTTAGTGTGGTCA